TAGGTAGAGTGGTGCAACATGGAATCTAAATGCCTTGTGTTGCTCTTGCTGGTTCCATATATATTGAAGTTGAACCTGAACCCTGAATAACAAGGACATAAATATAAACATAAACTGAAATGCACAAAGCTTTATGAATTATTTTGTAAAATGAACAATCTCAGACAAATGTGAATAATATACCTGAGTGCCTTGTGCTGTTGGTGGTGCTGCTACTGTTTCTGTTGCCCTATTTCTTGAACCCTGAAATGAAAACAAAGTTTCACAATTTATACCTATACCTGTTAAAATGAATAATATCAGACATATATGAATTATATAGATGAGTGCCTTGTTGGTATTGCTACTGCTATTTCTGCTGCCCTACTTCTTGAACCCTGAAATGAAAACAAAGGTTCACAATATAAACATAAACTGACATGCAAAAAGTTTTACAATATAAATCAAAACTTTAAGATATGAATTAAATACCTGAGAACCTTGTGATGCTGCTCCAATCCTTCTTGATCTTCTTGGTACACTTTTGCTCCTTACTGTTGGGGTTGTTGATGATGATGAACCTGCTGCTGCTGCTGCTTTTGATTTTGTTGCTTTCACTTGTGCTGCAGTAGGAGCCTTTCCACATCCCCTCTTGTCGTGTCCAAACACACCATATGTGCTGCAAGTGATAACACTTGACCTTCTAGTCGCTTCCGGTTCACCAATTTCCCTCTTTCTTTTCACTCTAGGTCTGCCTATTGGTCTTTTGAGAACTGGTGGCTCCAATGGTACTTTGTCAACCTCAGTATACATAGTGTCATGGTACAGTGGGTGTATAAAAGTACTGTAAGTCTTTACATATGTACTCTTGTTGTAGAAATCTGAACAAAAACTCTCAAAATCATGCCTTGTGTGTGTAATAGCTGCACATGCATGCCTGCAAGGCACTCTAGACACTTGCCATTCCCTACAGCAGCAACTCCTCTCATCTAGGTTCACAATATAAGACATGTGTGTATCCATTTGTGTAATTTGATACAAATTCCTACCAGGCCAAATCAGTTCACATGGAGCAGCTTTAGAGATGTTAGAGTTCAATTTTTTCCTAACTTTTAGCACTATTGTATTTGTCCACTCTACTGTCCTTTGAAATCTTTTGCCAAACTTGGGCATCAGTTTTTTTGCTATGCTTTCCAGAATTACAGTGATTGGTTTTTGTCTGATATTCCTGAGCGGAGAATTAAATGACTCCACATGATTATTGGTGACAAAGTCACACTTTGCCCTATGATCAAATTTGTGTCTAACCCATGTCTCTAAAGGATGTTCCATCAACCAATTGCAGCCCCCTCAACAGATTGCCTGCAGCTGCCCCATTGTAGATTTGAATTCTAATTCATTATATGCATTTACAATTTCCCAAAATAAACTTTTGTACTTCAGACCAAGATATTTTGTCTTAAAATTGGCATAGATATGCCAGTAACATCTCATAGTAAGTGCCTGTGGAAAAATATCAGAAATAGCTCCCAAATTTCCCTTTTGCCCATCTGACATAAAGGTCCAAGGAATATCTCTAGCTGTATCACCAAGGAACTTGTGCAAGTGATCTAAAAACCATTTCCAACAGTCATTTCCTTCAGATTCAATAATGGCAACAACAAATGGATACAACCCATTATTTCCATCAAGTCCTATAGCACTAAGTAAAGTACTCCCAAAAGGTCCCTTCAAAAAACATCCATCAATACCAATAAATGGTCTGTACCCATTAACAAACCCATTCTGATATGCATCAAATGATAAAAAAAATTCTCTTAAATCTTTGAGGCTCATCTGCATTTTTCCTTATAAACACTAAACTAGTTGGATTTGTTTTCACCACCTCAGCTGCAAACTTCCATAGCTTTCCATATAACTCAGTATGACTCCCCCCAATCTCCTCTTTTGCTTTCTTTTTAGCCCTCCAACAACTTATATTACTAACAACTGTAAGAAACTTCTCTCCAACTTCTTGTTTCAAATCCTTTACAGAAATGTCAGGATTCTTTCTGAACCTGTCTAGAAGCTTTTTTGCTATAAATGTAGAAATCACACCTTTGTTCTTAAATGTTTGATACAACAATGTTCTAGGCCAACTCTTTTTATTATAAAAGACATTTTATCAGGCAATAGGGCTGTATGAATTCCCCAATTGCAACCTGCATTCCCATAGTGATAGGTAATTCTTTTCCTTTCATTTTTTTCCCTCACAAGTTTAAAACTTTTTTGGATAGAATATTCTACCAAGACATCTCTGAAGTGGTAGATATTATCAAAGAGATGGTACTTATCAAATAAAATTTTACCCCCTCAACATATTTGAATGGCTTTCCCTTCAAAGCTCTGTGTAAATACTTCATATTTATATTTCTATATTTTCTATTTCTAATTTTATTTTTTCCACTTTGACCCTCACATGTCTCTCTTTCCTCTTCACTTTCACTTTCTCCGCTGAAATCATAATCCTCACTATAATTAGAAAACTCACTATCACTATGCTCTGAAGTCTTCTTCTCCAAGTCAATATTATCCAAATTGTCATCTCCCAAATTATTAACTCCCCCTCCCTCATGAACACCAGTCCAATCTTCATCATCATTGTTAGAAAAACTATACTGAGAATCTCCTTCACCACCATCACTCCCCTCTAACATCACTGTTTCATTTGGAATGACTTCCTCAACATCACTGTCTCCTCCCACATCAAAGGCATTATTAAAGTCTGCAACATTACTACATGAAGCCAAACAATATTGAACAACTTCAACAAATACATTTATATCCTTACAGGCCTTCATCAACTCGAACATGATAATTACATCTTCATCCAGTTTTAGCAACATTCTATCAGTACAATCAGGAATTTGAAAATAAATATTAAATGCCACAGAACATTTCTCTTGACACACTTCATCACGTAACAAGTAGGTAACATGAGTATTCAGTGACAAATAACTATACTTTTCAGGATTAATATTCTCTATCACATATATGTGTTCCTCATAGTGAACAATGATATCATGCAAAGTATCATATGCCATTTGAATTTGACAATAATAATAATAATAATAATCATGCTAACAAATAAAACTAATTGCTAACAGTTAAAATAAATGATGGTAACAATAAAAATAGTGGTGCAACAAACTTGATAATAGTAAGCAAATCCCAATCAATAAACCTCAATCCAACAAAAATAAACATGCTAAAAGTAAACCCAAAGGTTAATTTACACTAAAATAACCCTAAATTAGGATTAATCCAGCAAAAGCCCCATCAATTAACCCTAATTAATTATGGGGGTTTTGCTAGAATTAGGGTTAATTACACCCTCTTATTCCACGAAAAAAGAAGATCCTAATTGCATCAAATAATAACATGCAAAAAAGAAAACAATAACATGCAGAAAACAAAACAATAACATAGCAACGATTAGATTAGGGTTCTTGGAAAAAAAAAAAACCTGATATTAGCGTGCAAACGACTCTGAAATGGGTAAATTGTACATGGAAAAGGCCTGAAATGGGACAATTGTACATGGAAAAGGTCTGAAATGGACTTGATCGGCGGTACGCAGTTGGATGGAAGGTATGTGGCTCTAGAACTAGGGTTTGATGGTATGAAGTTTGAACTCTAGAACTACGACTCTGAAACTAGCTAGGGTTTCATGGTTTTGTTAATTTGTGGGTCGCATCTGTAGAGAAGAGAGGAGTGGTTTTGATAGACAGAAGAGACAGACAGACAGACAGAAGTGTCCCTTGAAGAGAGAGAACGTCCCTTCAGATAGAGATAGAGATAGAGGAGAGAGAAATAGTGTGTGTTTGTGTATTGGCGAGAGTGTAATTGGTAGTGGATAGGTGAGAGTTTAATGAGGGGTACAAGAGTCATTTATATTATCGGATATTTTGGATTAAATGTGATTAAAAAAATAGGGGCAAACATGTATTTTCTCATGTTTTTAACGGAGACAGTAACGAAAAAATGAAATGGACCTAAGTAATAGTTATTTTCAAAAGATATTTGAAACTGATATTTGGCCAAATCTGAGAGAGTGTCAGTGAAATAATTAACCTAAAAATATATTTGGATACAACTAAAATAATTGGTGCTTCCTACTACAGTCCACCACTTAGATATGTTTTGTATTGACTCACCAATTCATTACCACCGTTTTTGAAAAATTTACCTCCACACAAACAACGACCACCAAGTTTTTTCTAATTATTTGAAAATTTTACCATAAACCAAATTCCTTAATTCAATGGGCGAGAAGGTTTCCATGATAGTATTTTTCTTTTCTGAATGGATTAATTTTTTTAATTTCAAAAATCTCAAGAATAGTTAATGATATTATGATAGTTAACTAAAAGGTGAAAAAACTATCACTACTTCAAAAAAAAATTAATTTATTGATATTTATGGACATTGATAGAGAGGAGCCACTTAAGGCTCCGCGCATGTGTCTTCCCAACTTTTAAAAAAATTCATTTTATATGTCTCTCCTTAATTTTTAAAAAATTTTATTTTTGTATGTATATTTTTTTAAAATTTTAAAATTGCCCTGCCTCAAAATTTTTTATTACAGTATGCCCCTGAACATAATTTCTAACTTGGTACTTTATATGCCTCTGAACATAATTTCTTGCTCGGTACTTGTTTTCTATAAGTAAAAACACTTGGACTTCAAGATAATTTAACTTCGCAATATCATCCCTTCAATAGTACGCTGTATCATATAATTTTTTTAGTTAATTTTGAATTAACTAAATCGCAGAGTGAATACACCCAACCCATATAAAAATTAAAATATTGAGAAGTATCTTTATATATTTATTCATATCAATTCACTACCATCTTGATCACCCGTCACCGTGACAAATTAACCTGCAATTAGTAATAAATTATATATCAAAATCCCATTCAATGTACTCCTAGTAACCCCTCCACAACCATTTCTAATTACCTAATTATAGTGCACACACAAACACAAAAAGTAATTAAAGAGCCAACACACACACACACGAACACAAAGAGGGTCAAAATCCCATTCATTTGTATATGTGTGTGCATTTATGTGTGTAGTGAATAACTTAATTTTAATAGTAAAAAAAAGAAAAAAAAATAACTTAATTTCCATTAAATACCCCATCCAGCTTAATGCTATAGGAAACGTCTTTCCACATAAATTTATATTTTATTTTACTTTCCTCGCTTGATTACATATAAAACCAACCTATATATCTCTATAGTTTTCATACAAGCTCATCACAGTGACCAAAGATCCAACTCTAGCTAGCTAGAAAAATGCCTAAGCCCCTCCAAAAATCCCTTCAACATTACCTCTCTAAGATCCAAAAACCCTCCACCCCACATTTCCATTTGCCATCTAAACCTGATCTCTCATCTTCTACTAGTTGGATTCTTAGAGGCTGCAAGCACCCCAAGGCCCTATCATTCTCCCTTGCTCGCAAGCAAGACAACGATCATGACAATTCAGCTGCGACGTTGTCTGAGATCGGTCACTTTTTATTCGAGAATTTCAAGTCACTATATCGAAAGGTGGACGATGTTGATGACAATGAAAATAAATTAGGTGATGAAAATGGTGAGGAACAATATTCAGAGGGGTACATGTTTGACTCCCCTAGCCCTAGGTCTATTCATCCACCACCAGACCTTTGTGGATCGACACATAGGTTTTTCGTGGAGTCCGGTTCGTCAAGCTCGCTAATCATGTCCGAGGACATGGTGGGTTCAAGCTCCACCACCAATACTAGTCTTAATGATTCAACAAGACCTAGTGATGTTGTTAAGGAAGAGATGGGTCCTGAGGACTTTATCATGGTTTTAACGTACTCTAAGAATCCATACGATGATTTTCGACGTTCCATGCAAGAGATGATCGAAGCAAGATTGCAACATAATGGTAGGGCTGATTGGGGTTTCATGGAAGAGCTACTGTTTTGTTACTTGAACTTGAATGACAAGAAGTCGCATAAGTACATACTGAGTGCTTATGTGGACATGATTGTCATTTTACGTTGAAACTCCAGCGAACTTCCGGTGAGATCGCGTAGATCGGGTGGTGAAAGTATATAAAGAAGAGGAGAGATGTAACTGGTGACGGAGCCAGGATTTCAAGTAAGGGACACGCTGCCAAACAAAAAAAAAAAAACAATACGGAATACATATATATATATATATAATAACTATAAAATTTAAAAAGACACAGAAGAAGAAAATTATTAAAATATAAAAGGAAAGAAAAATGAAAGAACTTTAATAGGAAATAGTTAAAAAGTTTTAATTGAGGAAGAAAAACTTGACTTTTTCTACTAAGGAAATTTAAGGAATGTGAAGAGTAAAAGAAAAAATAAAGAAAAAATAAGAATATAATTTTAGGAACTACAAATTTGAGGGAGGGCACTATATAAATTTTTTTTTCATACATATGGAATTTTTTTAAAAAATTACCACATATATTATAGGTTGTTGACCAACTCAGGGGAGACACGTGCCCCCCAGGCCTTCATTGGCTCCGTCCCTGGATGTAACCTAAGATTAGACTTAAGCAAAGGTTTGATAAACAAAAAAAAAAAAAAAAACATTTAGGCAATTTATTTTTTCTCTTTTCTCTATTTTTTTTAATTTTTTTTTACGTTAGTCCTCACATGCAATACATGTATATATATAAATAAATAATGTTATTGTTTCAAACTTAAGATTTGTTTGCTTGTGGGTTTTGGTGAAATTTCTCAGATATCTATGGTGGACTTGTCTGCTAGCTGCATGTTCCCGGCCCAGAGCTTTTGGTAGAAATTAATTCCAATTACATTTATCTTTAGATATAATATTTTATATTCTAAAACATTACCAAGTATTAAGAAAAAAGACAATGATATGACGCACTATCAACAATTGGATGACATTTGTAAAGAGATGACCTTACTTCCTCTGTTGCAACAACCCAAAAAAATTCCTTCGGAAACTTTGTAAGAGTTAATCTTATTATTATTTTTTATTATAGTGACGGATAATGAAATTTTAAATATATCTTTTATGGTGATTTATGTAACTTGAATTGTTTTTATAATTTAAAGTTAATGTAAAAAACTGTGTATAGTGTTTGAATTGACACAATTATTTTGGAATAGACAAAAATTAAAATATGAACATTTTTTGTAGAATGAAAGGAACATGTGTTTAAAAGAAGACATAAACATAAATAAAGAATATATGTATATATGATCTCTTTTTTTTTCTTAAATTATGTATATATGATATTCAAAAGAACTTTTATAATTTAAAATTAATGTGGATTTGGTATTGAAAAACTGTGTATTAGGTTTGATTTGGCACGATTATTTTGGGACAAACAAAAATTAAAATGTGAACATTTTTTGTAAGATAAAAGGAATATGTCTTTCTTTAAAAGAAGACATAAACATATAAATAAAGAATATATGTATATATATATTTCTCATTTTTTTCATAAATTATGTATATATATGATATACTCTCTCTATGCATTTTTGCAACCAAATAATCTCAGCTTATTTTTCTGTAATTTACGGTGGAATTCGACAGTTAGGCAATAGATGAAGAATTCTCCGTATTCCACATCGTGTGTGGATTCAAAGCTAGTGGCTGAATTGCAGCGAGAATTTTGGGGGAATGCCGTCTGTCTCATGGGTCCTACTATTTTAATACTCCGTATTCCACATCTGATACTTGGAATGTAGCCCAAAAAAACAGTTCAGTCAGTCCACGTGTCTGTCGATTTTTACCAGTCTAAGCTAAGCGTTTAGTGTGTGGAATCCTAGACAACGAGGAAATTGCATTAAGTCCAAATATAGACATAGACAACCGAAAAGGCACCGGCAAGAATTTCAAAGTTCTGAATTTGGAAAATATACATATATATATATATATATATATATTGAAACACCGTGTATTTAGTACCGGTTTTCATTGTAACTGTTTTGTTTAGCAGAATATAGAAACATTTTATGAATAATTATCAAAAATTGAAACACTAATTTAATATTTTTATATGTTTTGATAAGGTACCTTTTGAAAAAAACTATTAAAATATAATTTTAAACTAAATATTATATTTTTCAAATTTGTAACACTTTTTACTGAATATGTTTTCATTTTCTTTCCTAAATTTTTTTATAACAAATGGACCTTACCAAATATACTTTCAAAACACGCATCAAACAAGCCCATAGGGAGTTGTATTGATACAATTTGCAACTCATTGTTATTTTTTATCCTGACAAATTAGGAGAGAAAGACTCGAACTCAATTCATGAATAGTTTAGTAGAATTTTGTACAATTTATTGAAATCTCTAACATTCTATGTGTTGTTTATGGTTCGAAATTAAAATTAGTTTCCTCTTTTGTTTAATTAGTTTTCTTTTTTGTTTTGGATACTTCTATTTTAGAGTTGTGACTAATATGGTAATTCTTTTTAGTCAACTTATGAAATTATTGTCCAATAAGAAATTGAGTTTTGAAGACTCTATAAATAGAGGTTGGTTTGGGGAGAGAGGTAAAGACAAAAAAAGTAAGTTGAGTTTGTGAGAAAAGAAAGAGTGTATAATCAAGTTTTGAAGTAAAAATAGCCATACTTCACCAGGTAATTTGTCGAATCATATAAATCTTGTTCGTTTTGCTGGTGTGTATTTATATCTGTTCTATTTACTAATTGTGTGTGAAATCCTAACACTATATTGAATTTCATTGTGCATAAATTCGTCAAATAATGTGAGGGTGTCTTCCAAAAGAAATTTAAGCGCTCTACATCCGATGTCGTGTTATTCAATCTGCAACTATGTTTCAACAAGGGCTCATCGGTTCATCAAATTTTAAACTTTGATTCTTTTACATTCAGAAATCGTGTAATGTAAATTCCAAAATATTTTTTTTAAAAAATAAAAATGCGGGACAAAAGGGGTTGGGCCATTGCTTTCCAAAGTGGATCTCAGGTGTATAAGGCCCTTTCATGACAGCACCAAACAAAGCCCTAACCCATCCCTGACTGGGTCCGAAGTCCAAACTCAGATCATTCTAGAAGCATCAGTACTCTAGACGCCTCTAGGACCACGATTCTTCCTCTCCTTCTCCTTCCTCTCTCTCTCTCTCTTGGTTCGCCCCCTAATAAACCCTTTCTCTCTCTCTAGCAAGTGATTCGTTCTCGAAAATAGAACACTCTTCACGACAACAAAAACAACACCGTAGTCTTTGAAGAATTTCGTAGAGTCTATCGTACGCCGCCTGCGCACTCGATCCACCTGCGCAGAGCTCTAGTTGCACGGTACCATCTACAACTCTAATTTTTCCGTATTTTTCTCTGTTGAACTAGCAGATCTGCGATTTTCTCTCTCTTTAGGTTCTGCCATTCGTTTGAAGTCACTGATCAATTTATTAACATAATCTGGCAATTAGGTGCGACAAGTTCGGTTTTTAATCATATAAAAAGGTTTAACTAATTAGATTCAAAAATTTATATATGTAGATTCTGATATTATGGGTTTCCTTTTGTAGTAATCACGTCGAAATCATGTGAGTTAATGTTTATGTGTGTTTGGATTTTGATTATGTGTTGAATCACGGTGAAATTGTGCTAATTGTTTTATATCATAGTTGTGTGCTAGTTGCTTAATAATGTTATTGGGGGAAAAGTTTTTGTCTTTAATGGAAGTGATGAAATAATTAGTTAATTACGTTGTCAATGAAAATTTTATATATATTTCTTCCAAATACGTATAAAGTCTTTGAATTGATATGATTGTAATTCGTCCCATTCCTCTTAAAAATAAGAGTAGAGTTCAATAGCACAGTGAATGTGACTTAGAGTTCTTCAAGTTCATATTTTGATATATTTTGGTTTGAGTGGACTGTTTTGTACATAACCTGATTAATTGTGGTAGAAATTATTGGTTTAGTTAATTTGCAATTTTAACTGAAATTTTGTAATGTTGCTGATTTGCTTAGAGATTGTTGACTATTGATGTTGATCCGGGATGGGTATTTTTCTTTAATTAGTCCTTGATAAAGAAAAATATTTGAGTATTGGTTTATAGTAACTGCATTGCGATTCTAAACAGTTAAGTATTGAATTGGTTATGATGTGTTATTCTTCAGGCGGTTATCTTCTCTGTTGGGAATCGACTGATTCTGTGCGCTGAAGCAAAACTTTTTTGGCAAATATGAGTGTGGCTGGTTTTGATCTTGGGAATGAGAGCAGTGTTGTTGCTGTTGCAAGGCAAAGAGGGATTGATGTTGTACTCAACGATGAATCAAAGCGTGAGACTCCTTCAATTGTTTGCTTCGGTGACAAGCAGCGCTTCCTTGGAACAGCTGGTGCTGCGTCAAGTTTGATGAATCCAAAGAACACGATTACTCAGATTAAGCGGCTGATTGGCCGCCAGTTCTCAGATCCTGAGCTGCAACGTGATCTGAAGGCATTGCCTTTTGCTGTGACCGAAGGGCCTGATGGATACCCTTTGATCCATGCACAGTATTTGGGAGAAGTAAGAACATTTACACCGACCCAGGTATTGGGAATGGTGTTCTCAGATTTGAAGAGTATAGCTGAGAAGAATTTGAATGCGGCAGTAGTAGATTGCTGTATTGGGATACCTGTTTATTTCACTGATCTCCAACGAAGAGCGGTCATCGATGCAGCTACAATAGCGGGTTTGCATCCTCTTCGTTTAATTCATGAGACCACTGCTACGGCTTTGGCATATGGAATTTATAAGACCGACTTGCCTGAAAATGACCAATTAAATGTTGCATTTGTTGACATTGGGCATGCTAGTATGCAGGTTTCCATTGCTGGCTTCAAGAAAGGCCAGCTGAAGATATTGGCCCATTCATTTGATCGGTCTCTTGGTGGCAGAGATTTCGATGAAGCTCTATTCCAGCACTTTGCTGCAAAATTCAAGGATGAGTACAAGATCAATGTTCTCCAGAATGCAAGGGCTTGCCTCCGTCTTCGTGCTGCTTGTGAAAAGCTGAAGAAGGTTCTTAGTGCAAATCCGGTGGCACCTTTGAATATAGAATGCTTGATGGATGAGAAGGATGTTAGGGGTATCATCAAGAGAGATGAGTTTGAACAAATCAGCATTCCAACTTTGGAACGCGTGAAAAAGCCATTGGAGAAGGCTCTTGCAGAGGCTGGTCTCACGGTTGAGAACATCCACTCTGTTGAAGTTGTTGGTTCAGGATCACGTGTTCCTGCTATGATCAAGATATTGACGGATTTCTTCGGAAAGGAGCCTAGACGAACGATGAATGCAAGTGAGTGTGTTGCTAAAGGCTGCGCTCTACAATGTGCAATTCTTAGTCCCACATTTAAAGTGAGGGAGTTTCAGGTAAATATACCCCTCAAAAGTAGAATACACCTTGTGCTATTTTCTGATTTTCATGTTTCTTCTTTCTTTTTTCTTCATTTTTTTTCTTCTTCATTTTTTTTTTTCCTTCTCTGTTTTATTCCCCTCTTTCTTTCTCCAGGTATTTGTTTAACCTTAAAAGATTTTATAATGAGATTTTAATGAACTAGGAGTTTATCATGCAGAGAAACGTGTTTTGTAACATTTATCTTCATGGAAATTTCTCTTTCAATTGCAGATGATCAGTGTGTCGAGCATTTAGTGTAGAATATTTTGATTTGTGTTTGTTGGGTCATCTACGTTTAAGTGATTCTCAATATTTTGCCCTTGAAAATTTTGAACTAGTTCTATTTTTTCAATTTTTTGGGTGACTCTAAACTTCCGTATGTATTAGTTGATGGAGCATTTAGTGTAGGTTTATTCTTTCTTTTGACATTTTGATGGCTTTTGATCTTACGTTTGTGATGCTGTAGAATTCTTAAGTTTGTTGGGGGAGACAAGTTTAATTTAGGCAATCTTTAGTTTATCTTTCAGGAAAACCACTGTAAAATGTTTCTTGAGTTGGATAACTAGAGCTGTTACATTCTTTGAAATCACTGATCACATCTTTATACTCTGCAAATTTGGTATTATCCTATGTAAGATACATTCTTCCTGTAGTATAAAATGTGAATGGTTTGTGCCCGTATAGCTCTTTTCCATCCAGTCTTTCCATACTTTCTTCTTATTATTTCTCTGAAGAGCTAGGTAGAGAAGTTAGTTGTAGAAATGACTCCCTTCTTAGGTAGCATGAAGCTTGTTGTGCCATAGCACACCATTCACTAAGCAACTGCTCTTTTTTGGTTTTGAAGGTCAATGAGAGCTTTCCTTTTCCAATTGCTATGTCATGGAAAGGCTCTGCTCCAGATACTCAGAATGGAGCTGCAGATAATCAGCAAAGCACTATTGTTTTCCCCAAGGGTAATCCTATACCTAGTGTGAAGGCTTTGTCATTCTACAGATCTGGCGCGTTCACAATCGATGTACAATATGCTGATGTCAGTGAATTGCAGGCACCGGCAAAGATCAGCACATATACGGTAATTGATCTGCCCTTATTTGTCACATTAATTTGATGTTATGTAATCTGTACCAGCTGGGATTTTTATGATATTTTCTGACATTATCGAGATATATATATGTAAATGTTTGTGGGCAGATTGGTCCTTTTCAATCCACAAAGAGTGAACGGGCAAAGTTGAAGGTTAAAGCTCGCCTAAATCTTCATGGCATTGTGTCAATCGAGTCAGCGACAGTGAGTCCTGGAAACTCCACATTTCTTATTGTGGCATGCTGATTGTTGATGAATCTTTCTGATTACTTTGTTTGATGTTTGTTCTAGCTCTTGGAAGAAGAGGATGTTGAAGTTCCTGTTGTTAAAGAGATGGCTAAAGAAGCTACTAAGATGGACACTGATGAAATCCCAACTGAAGCTGCTCCCAGTGGTAGCTACGAAACTGATACAAAAATGCAAGATGCCAAAGGTTCTGCCGATGTTTCTGAGGCAGAGAATGGTGTACCAGAATCAGGGGAAAAGCCTGTCCAAATGGAAACTGATGCAAAGGTGAATAAACACTGCCCTAAATGAGCGTAGACACACATGTATTTTTGCTTCTAGCGATTGATAATAGGGTCATCCCTGCCTTTTTCTTAATTCACATGAACTAGTATGTAGCAATCTAGGGCCTTCCCTATACCTGTTACATAAGAACGGGAAAGGCCAGCCCAGGGCACGAGATGCTACTGCGGGCTTGGGAGCCTGTCCAAATGGTAACTGATGCCAAGGTGAATAAACACTGACATGCATGCGATTTTGCTTCTAGTGATTGATAATAGGGTCATCCTTGCCTTTTTCTTTATTCACAGGAACTAGCGTGTAGCCATCTAGGGCCTTCCCTATACCTGTTACATAGAAATGGGAAGGTCCAGCCCAGTGCACGAGGCTCCTGCTATTGCGGTCTTTGGGAGGGCCAGATTTTGCAGTCTTACGTCCGCATGCAGAGATTGTTCCTTGTTTGAACCTGTCACCTGGCAGTCACAATGGAGCTACCTTATTGTGCATCAGGCCTGTCCTTGAGAATAAAGTCTTAGCTTAGTGCATGAGTCACCATGCGGAACCCGTGACCTCCAGGTCAAGCAACCTTATTGTTGCACCAAAGCCCGCCCTCCCCGATCCTTGTTACATAGATTATCCATTTTCTCTCAGCTGTGTAAACACAACATGGGTATGGCGTGTGTTGTTTCATAGGACAATTCTATCCTAATCCCAATGGGAAAGAATAACTCTGCCATGTAGTGTTTCAATGCCTTATGAACAAGTTCTAGGTTGGGAATGATTTTAGAAGTCATATGGTAGTAGAACTCTCCTGCGCGGGGAGTTTATCAACTTAAATTTGAAATCTTATGAGGTGATGCCTTGCCTTTTTGTCTTTCACTTCCTCTTTCTCCCCCATCTATGACCTTATAGAGACAATTCACATGAGTCATGGTTCTGTATTAATGGGGGATCTCATTAAATCTAGTATATCCTGATAAGTATGTATCTGTCTAAAATATGTACAGTATGATGTTTATATACGGCTCCGTTCTTTTAGTAAAAGATTGTGCCAAGTTTAAATATATGGTACATTTTTGCAACTCTATTTCAATGGCACCTAAAAAGATCATGATTGGTATTTTCTCTTATTAGCAAATCAGGAGAATATATGAGTAAGAGCTTCATGATAGAGTTAGTCTGACTCAGATTTAAAAAAGAAAAAAAAAAATTGATCTGTTTGGTCAGGAGTCATAGAAATTATCGCTTAGGTTCATTTCCCTCAGTTGCACTCCCCAGAGTACATGTCAGAGATCTCATATAATGTATCTTTATTTATCCTTCTTTGCCCCATAAAGAAAGGGGAAGAATCACACTTCTTGCCTTTTGTATCTTTTTGCAAGATAACAACATTTACCTTCTACAGAGCTAGATTGATACATTTTACTTGCATTGATCTGTTTTACGTTTGCTTGTAGTATTGTCACTTAGGGCTGCTGCAAAACATTAGTTGAATGCTAAAATTGACAATATTCTCTTTAGTGAACAGTATGGAGTGATTTTTATGTTAAAATGAATTAATTATTTGTTGTGCAGGTTGAGGTTCCAAAGAAAAAGGTGAAGAAAACAAACATCCACATATCGGAGTTGGTTTATGGAGCAATATCACCTGTAGATCTGCAAAAAGCGGTGGAGAAAGAGTTTGAAATGGCTTTGCAGGATCGTGTTATGGAAGAAACAAAAGACAAGAAGAATGCAGTGGAGGCCTACGTTTATGACATGAGAAATAAGGTATATGATATATGGAGCACAATAAAGAAGTTTACGTTTGATTTCTTGATTTATTATCAAACTCACTGTTCTCTTGTGGTCTCTAGCTTTATGACAAATATCAAGAGTTTGTCACTGATTCAGAGAGGGAAGAGTTTATTGCTAAGCTTCAGGAGGTGGAAGATTGGTTGTATGAAGAAGGTGAGGATGAAACCAAAGGTGTATATATTGCCAAGCTCGAGGAGCTCAAGAAGGTCAGTTTTTCGTTGTTCTGTTGAATTGTAGTTCACTATACTTATTAGTTTAATATATTTGACTTGGAATTAGAAAATTTGCAGAAAGGTAATCCAATTGAGGAGCGTTGCAAGGAGTATTCAGAGAGGGGATTGGTGATTGATCAACTTATTTATTGTATCAATAGTTATAGAGAAGCTTCGGCGTCGAATGATCCTAAATTTGATCACATCGATTTGGCAGAGAAGCAGAAGGTAATAGTTTATCTAATGAATTTGATTCTCTTCCTTCCCACTTGGTATGATGGAGATGTAGTAAATAATTGATTGTAATTGTTCTTTTCCTTGTTGTAATACATTTTAGGTTTTGAATGAGAGTGTGGAAGCGGAGGCTTGGTTGAGAGAGAAAAAACAGCAGCAGGACTCGCTCCCCAAACATGTCACTCCAGCTCTCTTGTCAGCTGATGTTAGAAAGAAGGCTGAAGCACTTGACAGGTATGGTCTAATTACCTGAATTTGTTGAAAGAAATTGAATCTTGGTTCTTCTCACTATAATTTTAACACATGATATATACTCAACCCAACAAAGCATTTTCCCTACTACTTTGGGTTGGGTAAATGAATCCTAGTTTTTTATTCCACTCTATCCAAGGCGGTGGATTCAGTCAAGTCACATGTTAACGTATCCTTCCTTGACTCACGTTAACTTTGGTCTTCCCTTCTCCTGATCCTATGTGGGCTATGTGGGTAATCTTGTAAACATTTTAGATATAGGGCAGTTTCTTTATGCAAATAATGGCAAAGGTCAGGTTTATACCTGCTTTGTTTCTCTCAGTACCCTTGATTGAGGGGTCAGTTGTTGAAAGAGATTGTATCTTGGTTCTTCCCACTTTAAAATTTTAACATATATATTTCTGTATATTATATGTGGTATAATAGACATAAATATGCTTTTTAACTGCCGTGTCAGTGGTTATATTGCAGTGAAAATAACACACTTTGTTATTGGTAAATCAAAGTGCACTTTATCTGCTATTTTTATTTGATGAACTTTGTTAGCGTTTTGGACATAGGGCAGCTACTTTGTGTGAATAAATGACAAAGGTTTCTGTTAGTACACCCTTGATTGTTCTCATGTTACTGAAACATTAGAATTTGTACCAACAGGTTTTGCAGGCCAATTATGATGAAGCCAAAACCCGCCAAGCCAGCAACTCCTGAAACGCCATCGCCAGCACCTGCACAGGGAAGTGAGTCAGAGTCTCAGGGTGCACAGAATACCGACAACCACCCCAATGCCAACTTTAATGAGAATGCTGCAGCTGGCAGTGGTGAGGCACCACCAGCTGCTGCTGAGCCGATGGAGACTGACAAGGCTGAAAGTGCACCTGCCACTGCATAAATCAGCGGACCTATTTTTTGGTTTTTTGTCATATACAACCCAAATTGGTCATTCGTATAACTATTACCATTTCAGTCACTCTTTGGTATGTCCAACCTCCAATGGCCAGCGGCTATGGGATGTTTTGTTGATCCGATGGTTTGTGTTCATAAAGCCCTCTTTGTCCGATGGTTTGGCAATTTCTGGTATTTGATAGTTTAGGTCTCTATAATACTCCAAGAGGATTTTGTAATTGGAAAGTTAAATTGTTTTCCATCTTCCTTTCAACGCTTTTTGTTGTGGGGACAAAAAAAAAAAAAATCCATATTTAAATTTAAAGGTGCTTTCAAGTGTGATTTATTTAGTCCTGCTCGTTTACTGCAGGTTTCCATGTTGTATTAAAAATTTAGAACACTGTTGTTTGAGTTTAAAAGATTTTGGAATTCTTCTTTCTTCTAGTTATGTTATTTTCTATTTAGTCTTTTTTTTTTGGCCCAAAACAATCTGTTATAAGATGTGTACGGTAAACGCTCAAAACGGTTGCGTTTTGAGGCTCCAAACAGGACCGGATCCAGATCCCTTTGCTTCACCCGAATGCTAGGAGCTTTGTAATACTCCATGTATTCTCTCTTTTAGATTGTATATGAGAAACTTGGTGACACTAATTGCAAATCGATTTTCTTCGTTCTTTATAAAATTCAAAGCTTTCACTGATTTTATTTTAAAGGCTAAACAAGTGTTTAGTTCAAGGTAGGCTGCAATTCGAACGAATTGGGCGAGTTAGAGGTATAACTCAGACCCAAGGTAATATATATAATGTTCAATTCTGAATCAATCTAAGTCAGACCTTCTACTTAACTTGAACTCAAACCATTTTTTAAATTTTAAATTCGGCTTGAAATTTCATATTAGAAAGTTGGGTTAATTTGAATTACTCATATGGTCAATCTTGTGATCTTGAATTAATTACACATTACAATGTTCCTAAGAACAAAATATTTTAAAAACTTGATGCAAAATTTTAAAATTTTTTACAAATTGTTAGGAAATTAATTCTGTAATGTCTAAACATGTAATAAATTAAGATTTAAACAATTGAAGTTGAAAATATTATCTATATAGCGTCAAATGCAGAAAATATCCCTAAAGTATCACACCTTTCATGTGCAAAAAACACCCCTAAAGTTTCAATTTAGTGCAAATAGGTCTCTCACAAATTTAAACTATAAGTTGACTAAATTACCCTTACTGAACCATTTTATAAATATATACAAATAAATAATTTTATAAAATGACCGAAAATGACACTATTGGAGGACGCCAACAATGAACAAGTAAAGATAAAAATAGAAAATAAAAAACAAAAATAAAGTGCAAACTAAAGAAATTAAAATTTTTCCAAACTCCAAAAACTAATGCACACTGATATTGGGGATTTTTTTATTTTATTTTAATAGTGTTGGTACGAAATAAAATAGAATAAAATAAAATTAGTAGAAAAGAATAAACTGGAATCTCAAAAAATTCAAATCCTTGTTCTATAATTTCTCAAAGTTAAAAAAAAAAAAAAAAAAAAAAAAAAAAAAATGTTCAGAGATATATATATAGGAAAAAGTATCAATATATATATATATATATATATATATATATATATATATATATATATATATATATATATATATAAGGTAATGTACACATAACACTCCTATATAATTAGAATAGTAGCATATATCCTTGGACATTTTCGGAAGGGTAAAAGGGCAAAACGGGTATTACATCACTAATTTATGTCAGATGGTGTATTTTTGTAAAATGTTAAAAGATTAAGGGTGTTTTTTGTATAATTTTTTAAATATGGGGTAAAAGTGCTACACGAAATATACTTTAGTGTATTTTTTATACTTGTCTCATATAATTATATTTAAAATAAAAGTAGAATTCGGGTTCAGTATTTTTTATCCCACTCTAATTATAAAAATGATTACTCAAGCTAGTAAAAATTGGGCTCAGTTTTGGTTTGGTTCGGTTTGGCTTGCCCAAGGTCCCACCCTAGTCGAGGGGTGGTAGTTTAATTACTTTTTAAAAGTTGGTGGGATTAATTGACACCAAAAAAAAAAAAAAAAAATAGTTCAATAAATTTAAATTGTTTAAGGAGATTTAGTGCAATTTTACCCTTTTTTATTATTATTTTTATTTCAACCGCTATACAGAACTTTTTTTTTGGAACTTATAGAATTTTCATTATACCCCATCAAAATCAAATCGAGCCTTGTGTTTTGGTAATCAACCAAAATGATACCACCAGACACATACCTACATCAAAGCATCGATTTGCTTTGAGCTGAGCCCAAGTTTACCTGCAATGACTTGAGCGACACAAGAACACTCCCGAGTATTGATCTCTCTGAGACATTTAAGCAAGCAGGTAGTGTTCAAAATCTAATTGGTTTTCAAAGCCTAACATCTTTACTGCGTTACATTAGAGATCGCGTTTATATCATCTTGGAATAAGGTTTACCCACTTCTATTCTTTGTGGTGTTCCATCTATCAATCCCCATTTAAAAAAAAAATCATTTTGTTGAATCTAATGATGCATTTGTAAAGCAGAGTGAGAATTGCATCGAAACAGTTGGAGCAAGGAATTGAAAGTCGTCTTGCGTTATTCATTGTTATCTATAAGAATTTCGTTGCAAAATGATTCTGTTTTCGATTACTTCAAGGCGATCTATATCAACTTTCCCTCATCTCTTTGAGAGAATAAAGCAGACAGGTAAGAGTTTCATTATCAAATGCTTCAATTGAAACCATGTATGAACTCGTTTTAGATTTTTTTTTTTTTTTTGGGTATCGAAATTGATTGATTTTTTTGGTATAGATGTTGCTGTGTCATCTTTTTGAACAGTGTCATATCACTGAGTATAATTTTGCAAGAGGGAAAAAAAAGTGTGAAATTTAATTGAAATTTATTCACTTGTGCTTGTAGAAAATGAAATTGTCGAAATGTTCCAGCTGTCTGGTCCAAACGATGAATCAAACCCACCCATGACTCGAACACTTTCACGAAACAACCGATCAGTACGGACACTGGACGAGAGATTTATTAGGATTTTGAAGATATTCAAGTGGGGGCCTGATGCGGAAAAGGCTTTGGAGGTGCTCATGCTGAAAGTGGATCATCGTTTGGTTCGCGAAGTGTTGAAGATTGATGTTGAGGTCAATGTTAAGATTCAGTTTTTCAAGTGGGCTGGGAAGAGAAGGAACTTTGAGCATGATTCGACCACCTACATGGCTCTGATTCGTTGTTTGGATGAAGCTGGACTGTTTGGTGAAATGTGGAGGACAATCCAAGAGATGGTTAAGGGTACATGCCTCATTGGTCCAGCAGATTTATCTGAAATTGTGAAAATCTTAGGCAGGGCTAAGATGGTGAACAAATCACTCTCAACTTTTTACCAAATTAAAAGTCGAAAGTGCAGACCAACTGCAAGCACTTACAACTCCATAATCTTGATGCTAATACAAGAAGGTCATCATGAGAAGGTTCATGAGCTTTATAATGAAATGTGTAATGAAGGTAATTGTTTTCCCGACACAGTAACATATAGTGCACTTATATCGGCATTTGCGAAGTTGGGTCGTGATGATTCTGCTACTAGGTTGTTTGATGAAATGAGAGAGAACCGATTACAACCCACTGCAAAAATCTATACAACTTTATTGGGAATCTACTTCAAGTTGGATAGGGTTGAAAAGGCTATAAATTTATTTCAGGAGATGAAAGAGAAGGGATGTGCACCAACTGTTTATACTTACACAGAATTAATAAAGGGGCTTGGAAAAGCTGGGAGGTTTGAAGATGCCTACAGTATATTTTTGAATATTTTAAAAGAGGGTTGTGAGCCAGATGTCGTACTCATTAACAATGTTATAAACCTTTTAGGTAGGGAGGGTCGTTTGGCTGATGCTCTTAAGCTCTTTGATGATATGGGATCCCTGCACTTGACACCAAATGTGGTGACATATAACACCGTCATTAAAGCTTTATTTGAATCCAAAGCCCCTGCATCTGAGGCTTCTTCATGGTTTGAGAAAATGAAGGCTAATGGCGTTGTTCCTAGCTCTTTTACTTATTCAATTCTTATTGATGGATTTTGCAAGACAAATAGAGTAGAGAAAGCTTTGTTACTGCTTGAGGAGATGGATGAGAAGGGTTTTCCTCCTTGTCCAGCTGCCTATTGCAGTCTGATCAACGCTCTTGGAAAAGCAAAACGCTATGAAGCTGCAAATGAGTTATTTCAAGAACTTAAGGAGAATTGTGGATCTTCTAGTGCTCGAGTATATGCTGTGATGATCAAACACTTTGGGAAATGTGGGCGTCTGACTGAGGCTTTAGATCTTTTTCATGAGATGAAAAAACTTGGGTGCACTCCTGATGTCTATACATATAATGCACTTATGTCAGGAATGGTTAGGGCCGGCATGATAGATGATGCTCATTCCTTGCTGCAAACCATGGAAGAAAATGGTTGCATTCCAGACATAAATTCGCAGAATATAATTCTGAATGGTTTAGCTAGGACAGGTGGCCCGCAACGGGCAATGGAGATGTTGACAAAGATGAAGCATTCAAAGTTAAAGCCAGATACTGTCTCATACAACACTGTTCTTGGATGTCTCAGCCGTGCTGGTATGTTTGAGGAGGCTGCAAAGCTGATGGGAGAGATGCATTCAAATGGCTTCCAATATGATCTCATAACCTACTCGTCAATACTTGAAGCAGTGGGTAAGATTGATGAAGTTCGTGCACATACAACTCTGTGAAAGAAGGTACGGCATGCTTTTCCTATGCTTGTTATTGCCTTTGTTTATTAAAGCTCATTGGCAAATTACTTGGTTAACTTTGGGTTATGTGATGACAATGTATTGTAATTTACATTATCAGGTGTTCTTGAAGTAGAATAGTGTAATATCTTGAAATGCTAATGATGGGCAAAAATACATCACTTTTCTTTGTTGCCTACAATTGTCTTTTTAGTTTTGATCTATAGGTAAAAATAGATTGATATATTGTTCTTACGCTAGCTTTTCCTTGAATAAGAGGGAAAAAATAATAATAATAATAAAAATAAAAAAAAAATCCCTATGCTCCCCTCTATCAAAGTTTTAGTAATGGGTGATTTGCTTATTCAAAGCTCGGGAAATGATTTTGAATTCATTTTACTGAATTAAAGGGAAGAGGATCTCAGAGGAATGACTGTTTTATCACATCTTTCTTCTCTCTTGATTTACCCATTATATCTAATGACTAAATTCCTTCAAACTCAACACCTCCCTACCCACCATGCAATGACAAGATTTCCAAATCCTCAAAAGTCAGTACTTGCTCACACAGCGACACTATCCTGCCTTACTGATCCAACTTCTTGGCTTTATTTGGAATTATTATGGGGATGTGTTTCCCATGTTTCATAGGGATGACAAAAAATAGCATCCTCTAGAAGTTTCATGTTAAATTAAACGACATGCTCGTACATGGTATTAACTTGTTCCCCTTTTCAAAATAACCATAATGTTTTACTCTCTTTTTTCAGGCATATGGAGACGAGTAGCAGCTAAGTGAAGGCCTGGTTGTGTCATTGAGCCCCTGTTCTCAAGTCTGACTACAAGACATGGCCCATACATTTGATCTGAGAACTTGTTGCATACTTAAAAGCCAATGGAAGATTTTTAAGTTGATAAAGAATTTTCTGTTTATCAACTTACCTTGAGTGGCAGTCTGTTGGCCATAGGTTTCAAGCTGCAGTAATGGTTGGGATCTGACCAATGTAGATGACCGTAGCATGCATAAGAAGCTTGAATTGAGTGGAGAAATTTCAGAGGTGGATCAATGCCCTTCTCTCTTCGTCCAAATGCCTCGGTTCGACTTTTGCTAGTATCATAGTGTTTCTGAATGAAGATTGGTTGGAGGCTCCCCCATCTTGAATTGCCCACAGCATGCGATAAAGGTTCATAGATCGGGAATTTGACTGGACCAACCTGTTGAAGCACTGAAGGATGTTATAAGCACTGTAGGATGCTAGAGCATTGTCGAAAATGATCGCACTGTATGTTCTTTTGGGAAACAAAGGCAGGAGACATGAAATTTAAAGAACATGTACTTACATTGTGAGAGAACATGTTCTTACCTTGTGAGTTATGACTTCTTAGATAACTTATGAACTGGTGTTTGGCAATATCTATAGAATTCAAGTTAATGGTTACTCTTTGTTTCAAGTGAAAAATAAAATTGAAATACAAACTACTACACACATCTCACACAAAGGGAGACCTGAAGACATTGCAAGTTATGTCATTTGGATGCCTAGACCAACATCGCTTAACCAACAATTTCAAGGCATTGTAAACCGATAATCAATTTATATGAGAAATGAGCAACAAGTTCATTGAAGCCCATAAAATCTTGATCCCTGTTGCCAGATCGTGGCAATCCTATTCATATGAAAATGAAGTCACGGAATCAAAAATAAAAATAGCAAAAACAAATTGCCACCCTTAAGCGTATAAATTCATCAGAAAAAATGGCTCAGCACTGGAAAATAATTAATTTGACATTTGAAATGGTCCCGGCGGGGCTCGAACCCGCGACCTTCGGCTCATAAGACCAACGCTCTAACCAACTGAGCTACGGGACCTCATGTTGTGAAGAATTTGAAGTCCATACCAAACTCATATTATTTCTTATTACCATCTAACTTTAACTGTGCATGTGATACCCCTCAATTCTAGAGCCACGGGTGATCAAGTCCGAGCACAGAATATAAAGGATATCAAACAATTAATATTTAAACAAGCATTTGAATACAAAAAGAATAATAAAGAATAAATAAATAATAAGTTGAAGGAAACTAAATAATAAATCCCTATTTTAAAATCCTCAAATAAATAATAATTAAAAATCCAATAATAAAATCCTCCAATCTTCGGATACTAGTAATTAATTAAACTACAACTCGGGAATCCATCCTATGGACCCCTAATAATATCCTAACTAAAATAACTGAACCGAAATAAAAATAATAAGTAACTAATGAAGACGAGTCCTACGTAGAGTCGGAAGAGTGAATGACTGTCTCTACTCGGCACGAACAATCTCTAAGACTGGAACTGACGAACACCTGAAAAATAATGGTGGGTCAGGCCCACAAACAAGTTCTAATCTACTACATTCCAAACAGAGACCCGATACACGTACACATCCTAATTAATTCAACAATAACTAGATAGTCCATATGTAGATATATACACACTAAATGAACCTCACTAGACTATAGAGTTGTCTCAACCTGAATAGTAGGCAACATGCAAAACGCACATATAGTGGGCATGAGTACTTAGACCTACCAGGATACACAACTACACTATATCTAGCTACATATCCCTGGCAATATACGCACCCTAACCACTGATCCTGAGACTCAAGCTCATATCATGGCGTATAATTATATATATAAAATCCGTCATGTCCAACAATCAAAGTAAATTATCCAAATATTATTTTAATAATATGTCATCCAACTATTTCATTGACCTGACACGAATAAGTATGACTTAACACTATAGTTAATCCGTTCCCTTATCCAAAAATAGGTAGGACTTAACTTTTAAGTTAATCCATCCCTGATATGCCCCCATCCCATAATGGTGCATTAATCCACATCATAATCAAAGAGAAGTTTCCAATCCAAAGATAATGTAAATAATATTTACATATAGTAATCCACATAAACATGATATAAATCATATATATTCCATTTATATTTAATTGAGCAAAATAACAAATTCTAAGTAACATGCAATTAATTTACCTCATAAAAATATGTATCTCAATTAATTGTACACCCTTATAATCTGATTAAATTCATTTAAATTCAAATAATTAATTTAAATAATTTAATCTAATCCTATTTAATTAATTTTCACCTTTTTAAATTAAATTTCACATTAGTTATTATTTACAAATTGATACAAACTGCTTTTAACCATATCAAGATAAAAACCCAAAACAAAATTTCATTTAATATTAACAATTGATGCAGCCCTTGACTGTTGTTTTTCCTTTCTCGTTCGGCATGCCCATGTGTTTTCACATATACACCATCCAAATATTAATAACTAAATCAAGGAAAAAGGAAAAAAACAACAAAACAGATTTCGTACATGTGTATACAACTGATGCATGTATATAACCAAATCAACAAAACAGATTTCAATTATTGTAAACAACTTATGCATGTCTATAGAAACCCTCGTTCGGCGTGCATGGAAGGAAGCTCACAGATTTCATACATATACACACAATTAATTAAATTAAAGCATTCCCCGTTCGGCGCGCAAACTATATAAATCAACTTTGATTTAATCTTAATTTATATACGAACTGCTTCACACTAAATTCATAATATATTACAACACATAAAAATTTAGCGCAAATTCATTATTAATTTCTAAATAAATCCTTGTAATTAAATTCAACTAATTTATTTAACAAATCTAGAATTAATCTAGCATGCATAGAGTACGAATCAAATGAGAAGAGAATAATTAGAACTTGCCTTTAGGGATTTGATAAAAACCCTAACCTCCTTCTTCCTTCCTCTTTCTTCTTTCTCTCTCTAAAATATAGTACGTGATATATTTTCTAACCTCTTTCACAAGTCTATAATTATATATTTATAGGCAACTAAAATAACCCTAATCCTTTTCCCATTCCAAGACAAACTAAAATGAAATAAAAATAAAATAAAATAAAATTTAAATACTAAAAAGGTAACTAAATATATGTTACGTATAATCTATGTGTATCCCTTTTTATATATAATATATAAATATATATCAGATTATTATTAAAGGGACTTTCCTTATATATATATATATATATATATATATATATTTATTTATTTATTTATTTATTTATTAAATATACATATACATGGGTAATCATCCGTACCCATTAAACCCCTTATCCAAGTAGTCCATGGAGCCTAATTGATTGGTCAATTACTACTATCCATATCCAATTCCTTCAAAATATAAAAATAAAATAAATAAAATAAAAATAAAAATAAAAATAAAACAATTAAATTCCTAAATAAATACACATCATCACATTCAATTCAATTTAAACAAATAATTAAATCAATTAAATAAGTAAACAATTAGCCAAGAAAACAACTAAATAATTAAATGCAATTAAAACTACTAAAATAATACCGAGACTATCCTTTTTAAATTAGGGGTATTACAGTGCAGTACACTTGCAATAATGGAGTATAAATATAATTTAGATATTTGATAGTCCACGGCCCACATTCGGCAATTTCATTTCTATTGCATTTGGTATGAAGAATAAACCAGAATGTAAGTGTGAATGAAATGGTATGATTATTGTGATACCCCCGAATTTCCGAATGCGGGTTGGCCAGGCCCACGCCCGAATACCCGAGGATATCAAAACAAATTGATAATAAACGAATACAGAGTACAAAAGAATAAAGAAGAATAAATAAAATGCTAACAAGAAACTAAAATGATAATCTAATAATAAACCTCATAATATATTTCCATTAATTAATAAACTTTTCTGATACAACTGATCCTCCAAAATACAACTCGGGAATCCATACTGTGTGGACCCCTAGAAAATCCAAACTCAACAAATGACAGTAATCTGAAACAGGAAATTGAATCATAAAGGAACTCCTATGTAGCATCGGAAGAATGAAGTAGACTGATCCCCACTCAGCACGAACAACCTCTACTCGTGACGAACACCTGAAAAATAATGGTGGGTCAGGCCCACAAACAAGTTCTACTCTACTACAGTCCAAGCAGAGATCTGATACACGTATACATCCTAGTCAATCCAACAGTAACTAGTAGTCCGTATATATATATACACACACTAAAGGAACCTCACTAGATTATAGGGTTGTCTCAACCTGAATAGTAGGCAACATGCAAAACGCACATATAGTGGGCATGAGTACCTAGACCTACCAGAGTACACAACTACACTATATCTAGCTACACATCCCTGGCGATATACGCGCCCTAACCATTGATCCTGAGACTCAAGCTCATATCATGGCACCATACTTATATATATATAATCTAGTAACCATCCTATCCAATATAAATTAATCATCCATAAGTCATTCAACTTGTTCAGCTGACCTGACTTGAATATAGGTAGGACTTAACATTTTAGTTAATCCATTCCCTTATATAATAAATTAATCCTCCATAAGTCATTCAACTTATTCAGCTGACCTGACTTAAATATAAGTAGGACTTAACATTTTAGTTAATCTATTCCCTTATATAAAATAGGTAGGACTTAACTGATAAGTTAATCCATCCCTAGAATGCCACAGTCCCATACTGGTGCATTAAACCACACAATCCAATAATTGATGTAACAATTAAGGAAATACATCAAACATTCCATAAATAACTATGATAAATATGATATCAAGTTATCACATAATAGGAATGACTTATTATTTCTTTAAACTTCCTATATCATATGTCCTACACAAACTGAATCTTATACATGATGATATTTTATTATACCGTTAAATAAGGATTCTCTATATCCAATTCATCATATACATTTAATCTCAATTGCTAAAATATTTTAAAAGATTAAATCCATTCGTTTGTTTAAGATATTCAAATAGTAAGCATCATTATGATTGAGTCTATTTAAATTTATTAAAACCCAAACCTAGTCCCTATTTAATGTTCAGGAATCCTAGACATGTTTCTACGTTCCATCATTCCATAGATATGAAAAATACATAATTTAAACATGTAAAAATTCACATAAGAAATCAAATCAAAATCATACATTTTATCAATTCATAACACAAGAACAGATATGAACCAATTTCATAAAACCTATGTTCTAACCCAATTAAACGTGCATAATTATTTAATTTTATGTGTTTAATAAATTTTGGAATTTCCTAGGCATGTACAGAAATACGAATCAAAGGGAAAGAGATAGAAGAAGAACTTGCCTTAAACTTTCGGATCGAAAGTTAAACTTTTTCTTCCTTGATCTTCTCTCTATAGGGTTTTTCTCCTCATTCCTTTCTTTTCCTCCTTCCCTCTCTAACACTATCTTTCCAGTATATATCACGTGAATATTTCTAACCCCTTTTTACAACCTATAGCTATATATTTATAGGCTAAATAAAATAACCCTAACC